AATCTCGTGTTATGAAGTATTTTCAGGAACCCGACCCGATCCCGAAATAAATTCTCGACCCGACATTTCCTAGTTACAACCGTATTCAAATTCCAGAGTGAACGTTCGTACAGACGTGCAAACCGACGCGCGAGTTCGAGCAATAAGAGAGCACAGGATGCCGGAAATTGGAGCTCGATAGGTGGACCTTGAATCAACGAAACTTCGTTTTGATTACGGGAACGAATAGATGACACTGTTATCCACAGTACGGACGGTACGAACACACCGGAAACTTAATCCGTGGATTGTCGAACTGGGTCAACCATTTTACCTATCGTGATCATTCAGGAGTCGCGGCTCCTCCAATTTCCTGGAGTCACCTGGGTCAAGGTTGCGCCACCTTTTCACTAATTAATAAATCTCTCTGGGTTATACACGCTTATTCCCTTTCACGTCTGAAAACTCTTCGTATCGCGAACCACGCGACGATAACCTTCGTCGTTATTCGGAAAGGGGACAGTTTTCGAGCATTTGAGTATTTGGAGGATAACGCTCGAGATATTTTTAGAGAGACTTGTTAGAGAGAGTTGCTGAAATAATAAATCCCTAAGAAATAATATTTTTATATATTATATTATATTATAATAAAATTTTATATTTTATATATTTTATATATTATATTATAACAATATTTCAATATAATAATATTTAAAAAAAATCAGAAACATCTGCCGTAATGGATAAAAGAAAATTTGAAATTGATATGCGCGTACATTAGTATTACTATCTTTCGTTCATTATTGTACAGTATCAATGCTGATACTTTTATAGCTCCATGGTTATGGTATTTATTAATACAAACTAAACTATGCATTTATTATTCATAAGTGATTACAACTAAATAAGTAAAATAATAGGATAAAATTCACACTTCTATACGAGCTCATCGTACACCGTTCATCGTCCATTCTATTCGACTCTCAAGCGTTCTCGCACCTTCTACCAGATCCTCTTTTGTTTCCCACACATTCTTCCACGCCTCTGTCTTTTATTTCTTAAACCAGTTCACTCCAGTAGTACAGGGTTCCCAATTCCACCAACAAATACATTGTCAGCTTCCGCTCCTATTCGATATATTAATCCTAGCAACGAAATTAATTAACCACCCACTATTCGAAATTGCCATACCAAGAAAATTCCACAAGAAGGTACAGTCCGTACTTATTAAAAGGCAACAACGAAGAAATATCGACCGAGGCTAGAAAATAATCTGAATACATAATCCTTCACTTCCGAGCGAGCCACTCTCGAGGGTGAAGATGCCTGTAACCCTGAAACAGGGTCGAATATATTATTTTTATTGTCTGGAAGCAGCGGGGAGCTAGGCGCGCACACAGCATCGATAGAAGATAGGAGAAACTTCGGCGTCCGTGTATTCGAAATTCCGAGGCGGTTTTCACTGAGAGCTACGTGCCTCTTCACCGAGCCAGTTCTGATACCCTGATGGCCCATTGTCGACGGGCTTTTGTCTAGAAACTTCCGAGCTACTATGAGAGTATGACGAGCCACCGGATCCACCAGATACCCATCAGAAGCGTTTACACCAGAGATTACTCGTGGCGTGGCTCCGAGCGACGCTTCTTTTCCATCCGGCCAGTCGATAGTGCTCATCCACTCCCCTTCTCGCCCGTTTCTCTCATTTTTTCATGCTCGACGCCGCGGAATTTCAGGCTTCCACGACGAACAGAGAAAACGGAGGGAGGGAGAAAGAGAGAGAGAGAGATCTCGCGGTCCATCGAACAAAGCCATTGATCGAACCTGTGTCTCTCCTCTTAGATACGTATTTTCCAGAAGCTCAGCCAACGTTCTACTTCGATTATCCCGCAATTTAGCCGGTTAATGGTTCATTCGCGTTTCAAGGGGAAGACGGAATCTTCGCAGACGTAATTTTATGTGACTCTATTTAATACCTCGACAGATTTTGGATTTCAGCTTCGTTATCGTCGTCATTTTTCTTGGAATATCCAGAATATTTGAACACGTTTTTTCACGCAAACTAAGATTTGATGCATCCACGTCAATATCAAGCAATCAAGTGAATAAATGAATTTTGAACTGAAAGGCTAGTTAATAAAAACTTCAATTTGAAAGATGTATTTTTCCCTCTTTTAAAAATTACAATCCGCAAACTAATAATTTCCCACGATCCTACGAGTTCCTAGGAAACGATCGGCAGTTCTTGGAAATTTCTATCATTGTTTCAATGGTCCGCGTTTCGTGGAAGAAGAGCTTCTAGAAAATTGCTGTTTAAATTGTTTAAGGGAACGTTTCAAGATAATCGTTGGGGCAGGCTAACCTCGTTCATAAAACACGGTAATATTGTTGAAAGTTTCAATGTAACGCCGTGCTCGTCCGTAATCTCGGCGGGTCGAGCTACCAAGTTAAATTAAATAACGCGATATCTTGCGAAATTTTTTGCACTCTTCGGCAAAAGCACAAAGTGAAAGGCGTTCACTTTGCAGCCGGGGATGGATCTGAAAGTCCGAAGTTGGTAACTCGGTGTTTCAGTTTCTCGATTCAAAGTAACGGCTCGCGAACTTGTAAATATTATATTATGTTCACGATATAATCGCCGGAAAACGTGATTTCTCCAATAAGTTTATTAAATACGACAAATAAAGTAATAATAGGTAGTGTTACGTGTTGAGAGTAACTTTCGCTTGATTTTCAGGGCGAAAATGAACTGCAAAAGAAGTCTAGTCGACGAGAGAGTTAATTACAATTAATTGTAATTGTTGAAAAAAAGACGTTTATAAATTATAAACGTTTATAATGTAAAATTTTACATTGTGCGCGTATACTGTAAAATTGTATAATTTATAAATCATAAACGTATATAATTGAAAGAGACGAATTATAAATTTGGCTCGTTCAGAAAACTGTCCTTCGCTTCTGGAGAACATATTTTTCGTGTCATTTTCGCAAGTGATGAAATTTGAAATTACGCAAGTTAAGGGAGAGAATGTTCCTCGAAAAGAGGCGGCATGGAAACACGTGGGACTTGTAGATGATAAGTGACGAAGAACCTTTCGAATAATTGAGAATGAAGATCAAAGATATCCGCCCCTACTACACTGTGCGAAGCACTCTTCGACATCAATCGAAATCAACTCGGACAAAACGAACTTCCAAGTTTCTTCCATTTGTCTATTACTTTCGGCACATTTCTACTGTCTATGTGTCTTCAACTTGAATGTAGAATCTCTAAGTTGCCATTTCAGGGCCAAGTTTCTATCTCTTTTGCATTCACTATCGATTGAAAGTAAGATTTATTGAAAAATTAAAGTGAAATGAATAAATTTTATTATTATATATAATAGTATTTTAATTATTTTTATATATAATAGTATTAATATTATATATATTATATTAATATTATTTTATTTTTAATATTAATAGTATTTTAATTATTTTTATAATATGAATAGAACCATGATTTGTTGCTAAATACAGCGACTATACAAATTATTATGAAAATACAAGCAGTCGATAGCCCCGGCATTAAAAATAAAATAAAAAAAGAAGATGAAAATAAAATGCGGTTTGATTTAAAGCTGAGAAGTGCTCGAACTGTTCGTCAGATAACACTTATCGAAGGAAATCATCTGCCCCACCCCATGTAATTTAGCTGAGAGCCTGACTGATATTTGCGATCGATGGGGCGGCTCTTAAGGTCACTCATAAATACAAAACGACCGCGATCGATTGCGCACCAATGGCCAGAATGATTTAACACTGATTTTTAATCGTGATCAGGCACGTAGCCAACGAATCGTGTTTAGGGAAACGTTCCAAACTTCGCGAACTTCGGATACAGTGCAGATTCATACGCGATAATCCTTGCACACAGAGTCTACAGCTCATTATTAAACGAAAATTTATAATTTGAAGAAATGAAGAATTTGCATTAACTGACCATTTATCGTGACTGTCAAGTGTTCACGGCCGGAGTGAAATTCAATCTAATTCAATCTAAACTATGCAAAGATTTTTTTTTTTTTGAAATTCAGGACTTTAGAAACTCTTTAACTGAATAATTGGTACACTTGACAAAGAATCATTTTGTAAATTACATTCAAAAAATGTATAACAATCCAGTTGGTTTTATTTTAAAGTATAAAGTCTCTGCTTTGACAGCTCTACGTTAGTTTTCTTCAAAGATGTTTTCATCATCGTGTAGCAAGTGAAAAGACTATTTTTGTTTTCGAAATTCAAATGCCTCTGGAAACATTAAAAAGTCCTTTTCGTGACTGAATCTGTCATTGTTTCGAAGATTGAGGTTTCCTCTTGAAACTTGTTGCACGATATTTTGCCATTTTAAACATTAGGGTTAAATGACAAAATATTGGGATTTTTTTTGTCATTTAAGTCTAATGTTTAAGGTTCAATAAAGTGATAAAGAAAGATCGTACAAGATTTAAAAAATTAATGTAAAGGAAAGACATCGATCCTGAAGATTATGATACAATCACGTAAAAAATTTTTCCACCGTTTAAATTTTGAGAATTTTTCGACGACAAAAAGTATCCTTTCTTCCACTTGTTGCATCATGCAGAAACATCCTCGGGGAAAAAGAGAACTCAAGATTGATAAAGCAGAAGTCCCTAAGCTTTAGAATGAGGCCAACTCTCAGATTGTTGTACAATTTCGTTTCACGAAATTTGAAGTATCGACAATTTCTCATCGAGCGTGCGTGAAAATACTCTGCCAGCAATATATATGTCAGCAAAGAATTTTTCTGAAATTAAATCGCGGTAGTCAAATTTCAATTTCGGCGCAAAAAAAAAAAAAAAAAAAAAATAGAAACAAATATCGAATACTATTATTAAATACACAACACAAACTTTCGAACGAAACCAAAGGTCTATCGAGACGCATGCAGTCGAATCTTTGCGTGGTTTATCGTTGCGCGAGTGGTTGAGATGTTTCTGATTCGGAAAATGAAAGTAGAAACTCACTTTGAGAGCCTCCTCGTGGGTCACCGCCCGGAAGGGTGTGCCGTTCACCTCCAAGATGGTGTCTCCTGGCCTGAGTCCAGCGCGTTCGGCCACCGAACCCTCCTCCACCCTCGATATGTAGACACCCACCCCTGAGAACAATTCACAGACTTTCCATCAGGCCGGAAGCTGCCTGGCGACTGGTCCACAACCAGTGCACGCTAAAACCTTCCACCCAGGGCGCATCTTTCCAAACCGTTTTTTTCTCTTTCTCTCTCTCTCTCTGAGTACGTTTGTACTCGAAATGCACTGCGAGAGGAATTCGATGGACACGCGGCGGCGTTTAAAAACGGGAGCACTTAAATAAATTGTTCCTCGATATTGCTCGAAGAGTAGATGGAAAAGAGAGTGGCGTGAAAATTCTGGATCTATCTCGTGTTCTCTCTCACTCACTCTCTTTCTCTCTCTCTCTCTCGATTTTGTTCGCGTTTTACGAAGAATGGAAACAATCGTGGAGCATGATTATAGTAGACTGTGTATTTTCAATTGATTATACATCGACTCGGATTTATCGATTGTGTTTACGTAACCGTAGCGTATTGAACATTTATACAGAAATATTATAATTGATCGAGCTAATCCTTGCATGTGATCGCAATGGAACGGAGTTTCTGAGAAATTCGCAACGAAATGAACTACGTTATATTTGTAACTATGTCATAATCTGTTGGACAGTTGACGATTGAAGCATCGTGGGACCAGTCACGAATTGTTTTCAATACGTAATTTCTGTGAAAATTGAAAATTTGTATCTTATGTACGGTCAGAAATAAAGAAACAATCATAAGTCATTCGTTCTAATTTTTTTTTCTATCCCATTGTCAAAAATTCCGTTCCGTAAAATTCAAAAACATCGAAATCTTAAGATTTCAAAGTTGAAAAATGTTTCAAAGACTTAAATTCGCGAGTTGTTGGCACGAAGCTCAGATCCCATAATTAACAAAAAAAAAAAAAAAAAAAAAAGGTTCGTTTGGAAACGATTTCGGCAGCAATCGAAGAAAACGAAAGAAAAAGTTCTCGAAGTGTTTCAATCGCGATTTCACCGACACGTAGCCATAATTTCTTGGGCGGTCGTATCACAAGCCACTTTTCGAGACTCCATAAATCGAGACGGGGGGAAATTGATCCATTAGAATGCAATGGGGTTGGCCGTTCTCGAACGTGACGACGTAAAGCTCCCATTTTTTGTTCGCAGCCACTGCCAACGAGTTATTCCTCCTTCAGGCTTTTCATGGAAACGCCATGAGTAGAAAATCGGATTAGGTTCTTGTGTTGATAAATGAAACAGTAACATAAGAGCAGAATATTGGGCTGAAATGTCCTGTCTTATATTTCTTTTTTTTTTTTTTTTTTTTTTTTTTCTTTGGGATATTCCAAGTTCACCGCGTCTTTTATTTCTTAAATAAAATTAAGATTATAATGTGTTTGTACAAAACAATGACTGAAATGTCAGACGAGAAACGTGGAGTCCTCAATATTTCTCGAAATTTGTAGACTCGTGCTATTTTTGTGATCCGAAACTCTTAGAACTCACGATAACACGAGAGAATATTACGACAATACGAATTTATTCTGATTCATTTAGTTTAATTTAATGATAACTTAATTGAGTTTGTGCAACTCACTTGACTCAATCAGAATCAGAATAAAAATTTCGTTTCTTGTAAATTAGAAAGTTGACTATTTTTACTATTGAAATGTTCCAAGTTCGGAGAGTTGGAAAATTTAAAATTTCGCGAATATAAAAATCAAACTTCGTCCCATGTTTGCCAAATATTTTAATTTCGATCCAAAAAAAAAAAAAAAAAAGAAAAGAAACTAAAGACGTCACAAGCAAAAAGGATGACTACGATCTTTCTCATTTCGAAAATAGACAGACAGGACATTTTAACTAAAGAGAGCTTCGAAGATGGAAATAAAGAAATAAGGAAACTGGGCGGGTAGGAATGAAAGAAAAATATTGGTGTAGAAAAGAAAACGAGAGGGGAACGTAGGATAATAAAATACGGATGCAGAACAGTGAGACTGCTCGAGAAACAGAGATTACGGTTTTGTGCCGGTGCGTGTTCTCTCGTATCTCGCGCGTATGGAGGAAGCATGCAAAACGATTTTTCTGCGGAAATACCGGCGATAAAAATCGCCCGCTCTGATCTAAAATTTTAACCGCCAGGGAAAAAGGGGAAATGAGAAAAGAGAGCACTGCGTGCTCCTTCGTTTCGACTTTCCTCTTCTTTTCTCTTTTCCATCATTTGTCTACTTGCTGGAGAATATTCCATTTCCTGGAGTTCCTGTGCTTTTTCAGCGACACGCATAAAGACTCAACTGCGTGTGCTGATCAAATTAATTGTTTTCTTTTTTTTTTTTTCTTTTATTTCCGCAGAAAAGAAGTTGACGTTGTCGTGGCTAGGTTGGTGAATACATTGAACGTAATTCGTGGGTAAATATATATGATACTTTTCGAGCTCGTGCAACTAGAATATTCAATGAAATATTAGTCGGGCGCACATGTGTGGCACATGTTCGATTAAATGTCTTTTAAGGGGAATTTCTTTCATGGTCGAACAGCGATATTGTTTGATACTTTTCTTTGATGGTGAATTTCTGGCGAACGAAATCTTTGAACGTCCAGCTCGTTCGAACGGTTCCTTGCTCGCGCAAATTGCTCTACAAACCTTTTCTTTCTGCAACACGTTCTGGGTCTTTTAAAAAAAATACACAGCAGTCGCTACAATAAGAGAACGGAAACGTTTGTTTCGCCGAGTTTGTCGATCGGCTTGTTGCAGAAGCAGCCGATTTTTTGAAAACAATAGTTGTTGAAATTATTTCGAAATTATTTCAGTTTGATCTCTCAGTTTCGGGAAATGGGTATATTTAAAGTACACTGTTGAAGATAACCGAGGAATCGCTACAAAAGACTCTATTATGTCAAGCACGAGAAGAGTAGCGAAGAAGACTTACAAGTTTGACAGACTGACATGTTACTCCTATCATGCTCTAATAAAGAGCAACTTTAAGAGAATCATTGAAAAAGTATCGCACAGAGTAAATACGAAAATCGAGATGACACGGAGAATGATCCTTTGAATTCTGAACTTTTTTTCAGCAATATTTGCGAAGAAATTAAATTTAATCGCATATTCACGTATTCTTTACTCAAAATATTATAACTAGTATCAAGACTATATCGTATGTCGGACTTGCAGTATTTTTGAAGAAGTTTCGAAAAATATTCGACGAAGGAAATATGTAGAAAATACACGTAGAAAAATACTGTTACGGATCCTCGTTAGCCTGAACTAATTAGGCAAAAGTAGCAAGTAACGGTACCATGGCCGATGAGGTTCTACGCCACGTATGTTCCGATGCATTATACATTACACAAATTAGCTTCAACTTAACAGCGATCAAACTGTGCTCGGTGTTTACGCTATCTTTTGTATCATTTTAATTGAATGCCACGCAAGACCGTGTTAATTAGCTCATTAACGCGGTATCTAAAATCGCGAGGCACATCGTAAATCTGCCTTCGCTCTTTGTCACGCGATGAAAACGAAAATTTCTTTTGTCATTTGTTCAAATCAAAACGAACACGGGATTAACATTTTAAACAACAATACGTGCGTGTTGTCGTGCGTGAAACAGTTATTAATGCACGTGTTTAAAGATATATAAATTGTTGCTACTCTAATATTTAATAATTAAAACAATTTGTACTTCATTATTGAAATTCAATTTCAATGTCAGATCAAAATTTTTATACGACTCCTTTTTATATGCCAAATCAAAGTAATTTTAATGGAAATTAATCGCGGATTAATATAAATTAAATTCAACAGCCATTTATAATTCTTCGAGAGATATATACTTTGAGCCCTTCGTTACAAAAACACAGAGGTAGAAACGAAACGTTTCATAATAACATAAATTGAAATCGCGAGTAATTCCTATTCGCCACTCGAAATCAATATACAGTTTGAATAATGTAGATATAATAATAATCGGAATTTTCGACGTATCGTGCCGATGTCTGAATGAATTTAAATCGCCGATCCCTATGGAAACGATCGTCGTTAAAGCCTCGTTAATGCCTTGGAACTTTCATTCACGGTGTTCGTAAAAAACGAACTTGAATTCGTATCGGGAATCTAGATATCTGGCGCATCGTGTCACCAAAAGAACGAATAAAATATAACTCGTGAGCAAAAAAAAGGGACGCGGGATTGTACTTACTAAATCGCCGAGTACCATGAATACTTAATTCCCCAGATATTTGTCCAAGACACGAAACAAAACGCGGTCACATTGTTCAAGGAGACCGGAACACAATCGATGACCAGTTGGTTATTCGCGCGAGCAAGGAAGAGCGTCTGTTTCACGTAAAAAAAGAAGAAAAAAAAAAGAAAAAAGGAGAAATGGAAGCAAAGAGGGAAAAGGAAAGAAATGAAATTTGGCGTTCGGACAAGATGGACGTCGAAACCAAGAGGACACTTGGCAGCGGGAGTCCCGTCCCGCTGTTAATTGATCTGTTTTCACGTCGACAGGTCGGCCTTACGAGGCAGAGGATTAATTCGGCTGATAAAAGAGATAAGAAGGAACAATGAGCTCGTTACGCGAGGCTCGCGTTGCCCTCTCCCCTTCCCCTCCGCCCTCAAGCCCATTTAAGAACAGATTTCCGTCCCCCCTCTTTCTATTTTCTTTCAGAAACGTCAGCGACGATATGTCGATTGCGAACAACGAGCACCGACGTTTTAATTTTCTTTCATCTTGCAGCTTTGTGTTTGGCCTTGTAACTTTTTAGCTTTGCTTCTCTTTCAAAGTACAATTTTTCCCTCCGCGACTCTCCGTCTCGTTCCGTCTCGTTTTCTTTCTCTTTCTGTGTTTAATATCCTGCCCTCGCTTGGCGAACGATGCTCGAACAATGTCTCGGGAAAATGGGAAAAAGAACACTCGAGTGAATTCAAGGCTGAACAACAATATAGTAAAAATTATCAAAGTCAACCGATTAAACGATTTTTTTTTTTTAATTTAATCGATTGTTTTTCTTTTTATGAATTGAAAATATAATATGTAGCACCAGAAGTTCACAATTACT